CTTTTCTTCATTTTTCGCTCTTTCTGCCGAATATCCCCACACTGAGTCAGGAGGTGAACAAGAGAATTGAAGTTCTCCATGTCGTCGCGCGCGGCGTACTGTGCGATGTGTCGACAAGTGCAATGAAACTCGTATGAAGCCATGCTTAGGCGAGACTACCGGACAGACAATATCGAATTTTCCCGCCTTTTAACACTCAAGCTTAGAAGATTGTGCAGGGAAACTCGTCCGCCCAGTTGCGGCGTCGCTCGCCAGCCCACAAACATATTGCGATTGTCTTATCACATACTCTGTCGAGTCTCTCTTGTACTAGATTTTCGCTGTTTCAGCAGATCGTTTGTAATTTGGCTTTACGTACATCGTTTGTAATTTGGCTTTACGTAAATCGACTATTTTCAGGTAGCGAATCTACGCGGTGCCCAGGTGGAATTTGAATCGCTTAAGATTGACTGTACCAGATATGCGGATGAGATCTACATGTTGAACGCGGCAATTGAAGAGAGCCAATTACTCAAAAATATCGCCGAGAAACAGGTTCGAGCTTAGTGTATCTACCTGGGAAACTAATTTTGGTAGTCATTGGCTATACCGATCCTTTATTTGAAAATCGTTTATTCATCCGCGCGCTTCCATAGTGAGCGTCGTACTGACCTACAGTGTATGTCACGACGATGTTTGTTGCATGTTGCGATTTATGTTCTGCTTTTTTTCAGGTAGAAGAAGCTCTTCTTGCTGCTCAGCAAGAACGCGAGCAACGACTGGCAATGAAGAAGGAGTTGGATGCGGTGAAAAATGCTGAGCACCTCAGCAGCTTGACCGACATGTTAATGGGATTGGAAAGATTGGGAGAAGTGAGTTACTTCACAGCAACATTCGTTTAATTTACATTTTTTGTGGCTGAATCATTAGCCCGCATCTATTCCTTACACACGCTATGTGGAGCAAGAGTGGCCGCGCGCGGTCGCGGCGCGGTTTCGTAGTCCCACGAACGATGTCGCTGCTTGTCAAGTTTCCGGTAGCGATGAAAATGTGCAAAGTCCATTTCGGACGTATTCAATCGGTGCCGAACAGTGGCTTGAAGTCC